ATTCTCTCACCTAGAGCTTTCGACCAGTCACTCTGGTCTTCCTCAGTAGACTGACCCAGTGAAGCTTGTCACATTGAAGTGTGATGTCAACAGGTGAGAGAATTTTTTGTGTTGGACACGGGGCTGTACCATGGGATCATCAACGGACAGGTCACTGTCAACTGATCAACCACAGGGCTCGAAATTAGGATATCAGGGCTTCCTTTAACACAACCAGTACACGAGCAGGAAAACCTACATACCGCTGGACACTGGGCTCTACCAGGGCATAGTGAACGGGCAGGTCACTGTCAACTGAGCAACTAGGACTGAAAACATTTTCATTTAAATTTGTTTTTTTGTAATAATACAATATTGGGGTTTTCCCGTAACACAACCAGTTACATGTATGTCTCTCACCTGATGCTGTTGCGTTTCAATACCTGTCAGACACCTTCCTGAGAGCTTCTGACTGGAGTAACTGCTTCTTGCCACTATATATGTATGTAGCAGCAGCTCTGAGATGTCTGATAGGCGTTTAGACAGTACTGGTTGTGTAAATAGAAAACCCAAATATCCTAATAGTATGTTCTACCAACCTGATAAAATCATTTTCAGATTCATTTTCGTCACTGTCAACTTATCAACTAAAATTAAAAACTAGCCTGGTTTCCAGACCTATTTTAGCTCTACATTACCCTCTCCACAGAATAGACTTGGTAGCTAAAATAGGTCTGGTAACCTGGCTTATTAAAAACATCACTCAGTAATAATAGGATAATAGGGTTTCCTTTAACACAACCAGTAATGTCTCTCACCTGCTTATATTTCGATGCCTGTCAGACACCTTCCTCAGAGCTTCTGACTGGAGTACTGAGGAAGACATCTGAGTGGCATTGAAATGTAAACAAGGTGGCAGACAAATATACTGGTCGTGTAAAAAGGAAAACCCTTGGGCCAGTATCTGATCTTCTACCAACCTGGTGAAAAAAATTTTTCAGATTGGTAACAATACAAAAAAAATGTATTTCCTATAGAATCACAGGAATTAGAATTTGACTTGTGTATAATTAGGTGGCCACTTGTAGAATGGGAAAGACAGGAATCAGGAGATTTGAATGTTTATGGTGACCAAAAGTAGACTGACATTATTTTTTTTTTTGCTGTAAATTGATTTGGGAGGTGATTTTCTTTATGAATCATGATGGTGATAAAAGGTCTTTGAGAGGTGTATTTAGTTTCTTCCAGCCTCAATGTAGAATTGAAATGGATAAAGCAGCATTTTCAGTTAAATATATAATTGTGGATGGCCTGGAAATCTTTAGCCTGGTATCCAGCCTTGTTAGCTTTGTTGGCGGGGAGCGGATCTTGGGTAGCGGACTAAAGCTAACAAGGCTGGATACCAGGCTAGGAAATCTTAGATGTTTAGTATACTATATATAAGAGATCATAGCAACTACAGTAACTGAAGAAATGGTGTAAGATATTTGCAGTGATTTTCAATGCAAGAAACAAACAGAATCTGATGTAAATTTAACATACTGCTACTAACAGCTTGTAACAGCTTTCCTACATGATGATTGTATTTTTTCTACCTCCGAAAAAGAAAATAGTATAACTTGGTGTTACATGGTAACTTAGTAAGCCCTATATACATTGTATTTTAGCCAAATGTTGCATATACGCTGTTGCACAAGGGCTGTTAACATGCAGTAACTGTTCATGTGCCATGCAGGTATTTTAAATGTACCGGTGTCTGGAACAATGGTTGAAAGCATGAGTTTTGCATTTAACTTCGGAATCCGATAGCAGCATCAAGTCAGAAATTGATTACATGTAGTTGCACTGTGTCAATCATCCTGGTTATTAATATTATACAATCATGCAGTCAATATTAATCACCTCATTCTGGAGATCACATTCTAGGATAGGACGTAGCTCGCTTCATTTTTTTTTACGATACAAACAGGTTGTTTTCCATTGCATTGGTGCATGTAAAAATGTACAAACGTTTGCAAAGTTTACACTGAATATTACAGTAACTGTTATGTAATACTTATTGGTGACCTCACATTGATTTACAGGTATCAATATTGGAATGAGTAAGTTTTGTTTACTGTCAATAGGGAAGTCATTGTTATTAGCAGAAATACATTGTATCTTAAGTTTCTATATATATTATGTTATTTGATTTGTGCCGATTTCTACTCATACCAGCCACTTCTGAAGCCTGGTAGAGGCTACATTTTTGCATTAAGTGCCTTACATTGACATGTATGAAACATTTGGTGATAGTGATCATCAATTAGTATATTAAGAAATAATTTACACCATTCAAGACTGTATTCATTTGTAGCAATGGTGTGGGAATGCAGGTTAGCTTGATGTACAAAATAAAAACATCATTTGAATAGAAAAAGGGTCTGCCAGTTCCCTCTGATTTCATAAAATTGATTTAATATATAAAATTATTTTACATCAATTTCATACACCATACAATTCTAACAGGCTGAGATATCTATACTATATACTTAAACCTTTCCTTACTGCCTGTCCATATGTATAGAGAATCATTAGCCAAATGCTTGGTTACTCACTGGAGTATAAGCCTATATGGACTAATTTCACTATTTGCCAACATTCCCTCAGTAGAATACATTAAATAATCTGACTAAAAGCTACTAGAAAATCCTGCTGTTGACGCTGTTAGCAACAAATACAAGTCATGTATGCATTGTCATAGCAACAAAATTTACTTTATTTGCACATTCCAAAAGCTAAAGCTGACAGATTAATTCTCTTCTGGTTATAAAAAAAGATTTAAAAAAATCTTCATCTTGAAATTCACTGTGATATCTTCAGCTCTTAACAAAAGCAGTTAAAATGAATTTATAGAAATTAATCTCATATAGCTCAGTATTGCCTCTACTGTATACAAAAATGTTCACTGTCAAGTATACAACATTGTAATCTCCAATTCTTTAAAAGTATAGCATTCTGTATCAATTAAGAGCTTGATCACTGTCCAGTATAATCTCCAATTCTTTAATAGTAGTCTGTATCTGTATAAAGCTTCATCACTGCCACATATAATCTCTAGTTATTTAAAAGTATAGTATTCTGTATCTCTTTTTTGATCTCTTTCACAATTCAAAACTATACCTCAAAAAATTTGTTTTCTTTCTCTTGGATGAGTAGAAATTTACTGCATAACAAAAAATTGCATGATTCTTATGAAACCAGAAATTTGCAAAGCAAATGCATATAGTTTACCTTCTCATAGCCTACCCACTTCACTTCCCTAACAAACACAATGTATATGGTGAACATGCCATCCAACTCTGTCCTACCACTTGCTACATAATGTAACCCAACACCACGCGGTGTCTGCCACAGCACCAGTTACCATGGTGACAGATGCCTAGTCCAGGTAATTGACCTTACTTGTTTGGAACAAAAGAAGAAGAAACAGAACAAAAACATAAACTTTCAGCACCAGGTAATGTGGTAACAGCCATCTGGTTCAGATCATATTAACCCTAATGTTTGGGGGAGGAGAAGAAGAAGAAACAGCAAAAACAATCCTGCCAAAACTTGTCCTACAGCCTGGCCTGGCCGCCGACAATCCTCCTGTAGACGGGTTGGTCCAGGCGTCTGTTACCATGGTGACAGACTTCTGGTCCTGTCCTACAGCCTGGCCTGCCCTACTACAATCCTCCTGTAGGCGGGCTGGTCCAGAGGGACGTAGGATTTCCTGCCATTGTCGACCACAAACAGCGGGTCCCCGACCTTCCCGGGGTCAAACCCTTCCTTCACCAGCACGGCCTTCTGGTGCTTGAACGTTCCCGTCACCTGGATTATTAATAAATGATTGATATTATTAATTGATGCTAAATGTGCATTTTACTCTCCGAAACCTAGCAAATTAATGATAATCCAGGCTAACATTTTTATGTAATTATATATTGTTTAATGAGGTTATTGATTGACATTAAATGTGCAAAAGTTATTATTATCATTAGATGGCAAAATTAATGTTAGTAACACAACATTTTCTTTTTCAAAGTAGTTAAAAGTGAATGACACATTATGTGAATGGTAGTTATAATGTTTGTATTTTACAAATTAAGAGCACTCCAGGAAGAGTAGTGGTTGTATTGCCACTAACTGGAGGTTCCTTCAATAAACAAGCATACCTGGATCTCCTCCGTAAGGCGGAGGAACAGTGGTCGAGCGTAGGGAGGCAGCTTCGCCTGGATGTACCTGTACCAGCGCCGGAAATCGGGTTTCTGTCCGGGGTTTGGGAGGATGGACGCCATGCCTGCTCGACCATCCTGGCCTGAAGACAAACAAACAAACTTAAAGGTTACTTAATGCAAAGGAATGTACTGCATTAACTGAAAGCTAATGCAAATTTAAAGAAAGTGGAAAAAAACTCCATCAGTTGAGTACGGCAACTATCCAGGGTTTAATTTCAAGTGAAGAATGGAAAAAAAATTTGAGGAAAAAATTCACTGAAACTGTCACCACTGTATACCTCTGGATCTGTAATTCTAGAAAGATATTTTTCAAGAATATCAAACAAGACAGTTAGTGATTAAAGTAAATTTCAAGGACTTTCCCCACCTGGCACCTTGACCCCGTAGACATTGACCTCCTGCACTCCTTCCATCTTACTGAGAACCTCGGCAACTTCTGTGGTCGCCACGTTCTCTCCCTTCCACCTGGGGAAAACACACTACATATCAAAACTATAAACAAACCCCATACTCTTAATCCTAACCCTAACCCCTAACCCTGTTTCTATCAAAGATGAAGAATTGGCCAAACTTTTTTCAAGAGCGGCAAACCTCTGTCACATGGAGGAAAGACAGATACTGGCTTATATGGACACAGAAACAGTGTCACAGTTCCCCACCTAAATGTGTCTCCGACCCGATCCACGAAGTAGATGAAGAACTCCTTGTCGATCATCATCAGGTCTCCCGTGTTGAAGAAAGCGTCCCCGTCCTGGAAGACGTCTCGTAAGATTTTCTTCTCGGTGAGTTCCCGTTTCCCGAGGTAGGCGACGTAGGGCGTGGCCGGGTCTGCTGGTCCCACCAACAGGCCGGGCTCACCTGCAAAGGGTAGTATAGAAACATTCAGACATCTTAGATGTGTGGATAGATGGATAGTGTGTGTGTGAAGAGAGATATTAGACAGCGCGGCCTTGCCAGTGTAAACCCACTGGATAGGGCT